CCTCGGTGCCAGTCTGGCCCGCATGGTAGTGCCTGTGGAGGAGGAGGCCGAGGTGGACGAGTTTCCTGCTGATGGGGTGAGGACTGCGTGCTGGGGTAGTGGCGGGCGTTGGGACTGAGGGACCTAGATGGAAGCTGAGGACCATCTCCGCCCTCTGCCCTCCAGTGCGGGTGTGGGCAGGTCTGATGGTGCCATGGCCCCTTTTGTGGCAGGAGATGACGGCACAGGAGGAGGACCGCAGGAAGGAGCTGGAGGCGCAGGAAAAGCACAAGAAGCTCTTTGAGGGCCTGAAGTTCTTCCTGAACCGTGAGGTGCCCCGCGAGGCCCTGGCTTTTGTCATCAGGTGGGAAGCTGATGGCATTGGCTCTGCCACACTCTGGGCTGCGTCCCGCCCCAGATGCCCGACAGTAATATCAGGGTGGTGTCAGCATCCACCCCTCAGGGCGCTTGTGCAGATTCACCTGTGTGGGCTTGGAGAGTGCTTGGCTCGCTCTGGAGTATGCGGCAAGCACTTGTCAGAGGGCAGCTGGCACCACTTTCTCACCGGCTTAGGGCAGGCCTCCACTGGGCTGGCACTGGATATGTTAGCCTGACGACAGGGCTGATCCTGGTGTGGGGTGGGGACAGGAGTGTCCCGGGAGGGTGAGCTTGTGGGCCAGTGGGTCCCAGGACAGCCACTTCATACTGAATACTCTTGTGGGCTCTTCCTGTGCCTGTAGGAGTTTTGGGGGGGATGTGTCCTGGGACAAGTCTCTGTGCATTGGGGCCACATATGATGTCACAGACTCCTGCATCACCCACCAGATTGTGGACCGGCCTGGGCAGCAGACACCTGTTATTGGCAGGTAAGCCCCCAAGGCTCTCATCTTCCTCCTCCTGTTTGGGTTTCTGGGTGTAGAGGTCTGTCTCAAGCGCAGATGCAGTGGGGCTTCAGGTTGCTTCCATGACCTGTCTCCACCACCAGGTATTATGTGCAGCCCCAGTGGGTGTTTGACTGTGTAAACGCTCGGCTCCTCCTCCCCATGGCGGACTACTTCCCTGGAGTGCAGTTGCCTCCACACCTCTCACCCTTCGTATCAGAGAAGGAAGGAGATTACATCCCTCCTGAGAAGCTGAAGCTGCTGGCCCTGCAGCGGGGAGAGCACCCAGGTGAGTGGGCCAGGAGATGGGGTGGATGGGTGCCTCCAGGCTGGTTTTGGCCTCGGCCCCACCTGGTTGTTTCCCTTCTTGGCTACAAAGATAGCAAACTCCTGAGAGTGGGCAGCAGGGGCACAAAGCCCTTTAAGCCTACCTTTGGAGTAAGGCTTAGGAGAAGGCAACGTTTGTATTCTATGATCACCTGTTGATGTTGAGAGTAACTGAGCACGAGTGGTTTGGAAGTTGTCATCAGTATTTATATAGGAGGTGGCAGAGCTCAGGAGGAGGCGCCTTGAGTTTCCTCTGAAGGTGTTGGGGGCTGTGGGGAGAGGTGCTGGAAGGAGCTGTGGTTGGGGCAGCCCTGCACCGTCTCTGGAATGTCTTCGTGGCTGAGGAATGTGGTGCCTGGCCCCAGTTCTCACCCTGCAAGGAGAAGAGCAAGCTCAGAAGTCGTTGGTTATTTACAGGAAGTATGGATGAATCTGAAGAGAAGGATGAAGAGGAAGACAATGATAGTGATGGTGATGAAGGGGGAGAAAACGAAGAGGAGGAGGAAGAAGATGTGGAGGCCGTTTCAGAAAAGGAAGAAGAGGCCCGACTGACAGCCCTGGAGGAGGAGAGGATGGAGGGGAAGGTACTGGGAAGCTGACTGGGGGTGCAGTCTGGAAAGCAGCTCCACTGGCCATCTTTGGTACCAGCCCTGGGCCAGAAGGGCAAGAGCCAGGGGACTGGTGGGGGTGGGGCATCCGCAAGTGTTGACCCTGTGTCCCCAGAAGCCCAGAGTGATGGCAGGCACTGTGAAGCTGGAGGACAAGCAGCGGCTGGCCCAGGAGGAGGAGAATGAAGCCAAGCGCCTGGCCATCATGATGATGAAGAAGCGGGAGAAGTATCTTTATAACAAGATCATGTTTGGCAAGAGGCGCAAAATCCGAGAGGTGAGTCCCTCCCATCTGCCTGAGACTCCAGGTATGGCCACCAGATGTGGCTGCACATGTGAACTCTGGGGCCAGCTTGCTCTCCTCTGTGCTGATTCCATCCCTTTTGTAGCTTATACAAGTGGCCTGTTACCTGCTGATAGGATTGGATTGTTTTTCATTTTGAGGCATTCTTAGAAAATATCCTTGAGCACATCCCTTTGAAGTCTCTGCAGGGTAAATTCTTAGGCATGTCATTGCCAGGTTGAGAGGCCTATGTGTGTTTTGTAGTAGGTATTGCCAAATGTTCCCCAGGGGAAAAGACTATTGTTCCAGGTTGACACCTCCCCAGCAGCCTGGTGAAGGTTTGATTGGCACTCAGCTTTCCCAAGGAGAAGGGTAAATGGGGCAGTTGCCTCTGGTTCTAGGAACGTGGGATCCTACTAACTTGCTGTGGGCCCATAACATAATAGAGTCATAAAGGCAAAGGTAAAGGCATGTTTAATGACCTGAGGTGGTTCAAATAATTGTTTTTTCTCCTGGTAATTTGCTTTTTTAGTTTCTGCGGGAGCTCTGCTTTTAAGGGATGGCCTTGAGTAGGAGAAGTACCCTACAATCACAGCTTGATCCCCCTTTCCTCCTCACAGGCCACCAAATTGGCAGCGAAGCGGAAAGCCCACGACGACGCTGTGAGGTCTCAGAAGAAAGCCAAGAAGGCCAGGCCCGTGTGAGTGGTGGCAGCCTCTTGATGGGCGAGGCCCGCTCCTGGCAGCTGGAGTTGGCACAGGCAGGCCAGAGGACCCAGGCTTGGTGGCAGACCAGAGTCTCTTCTCTTTTCATCCCCTTCCTCCCCCTGCCAGCCCTGGCTTCCTCTCAAGCTCTCTGGCTGGATCCCCAGCCTCCCTTGGATGGAGCTCCCTGCTGGTGGCTGGGCAGAGGAGAGGCCTTTGTGCCCAGCCCAACTTGATGCTCCCAGGAATCCGTGACATGGGGGGCAGGACCAGCCCCTCACCAGTTGCTCCCTGTTCTCTGGTTTTCTGTAGCACACCCCTCCCTCCAAGGTTGGACTGGTGATTTTCCTCCTGCTGTGATGGGGTGAGGGTGAGGAAGCATTTGTTATTAAACAGCTGGAGTTTTGGAACGATTGAATTCTGTGTCCCATTAGCCTTCTTGGGGTTGGAGAAGGGACGCCTAGTGACGTGGAGTCTACCCTTTGTTCACATTCCAGCCCAGGTACTTTCCCCCTATAAACATTGTTTCCTTGTGTGTAAATTAGGGGTAGAAATTCTGGAGCCTCTCTGGGGAGCCAGGAGTGCTGTAGGTGAGGAAGGTTCAGTGATAATGTTATGCAGACTTAGTATCAAGGTCTAGAAAGTAAGGTACTCTATAAATACCAACTGTGATTGTCATAGCTTTCTGCTGGAGTAAGACCAGAGGTGAAAGCCAGTGCCTAAAGGATTTGTGAGGCTTGAGTTGAGGGGTACCTAGCTTTACCTTGTTGGCTCATGGTCAGAACTACCCAGTAACCCCCAGTGTGGGCATTGTCACCAGTCTGACTTGTGACCCTTGCTGGGACAGCCTTACAGCTTCCCACCTGACCCTGACAGTGCCCTTGCTGAGGCCTGGAGAAACATGCCTTTGCCTAGACTGCTAGGACCCCACAGCAGAGCCAGGGCCAGAAACCAGGGCTCAGGACGGTGCTGAAGGCTATCAGGAGCTGGGGCCAGGGTGGTGGAGTGTGGCTTTGGACTGGGGTTCCATGTCCCCCCAGTTGGCACCTGAGGGTCTTGGCCTGTGCCCAGGCTCTCTCAAAGTGTTTTGGGCAGTGGCTGCAGGCTCACCGTGTGCAGGGGGGAAGAGTTTGGCAGGCTCTGGCAGAGAGACCAGAGAACCCAGGGCCCCCCTCTTGGCTGGGTCTTGCTGGGGGTGGGGAGGGTTATGTTCTACTCTGGCATGCTCATGGGGGTAGGGTGGTATATGTCCGTGCAGAGGCAGGGATGGGGTCAGGGCCTCTGGAGCCAAAGCCTGCTGCCCTAGGGAATGCCTTGGGCCTGCCTCGGTGCATGTGCATCCCAGGACCATGGCAAGAGTGCCAGGGCAAGGCTGGAAAGCAAGCCCATCAGATACGGAAAAATCCCCGGCAGCCATGATGATGTGGAATTTTCCCCATTCCAGAGTCGCCCATAATGGTGGGGGCAGTGGGGCTGTGACGTGGCCCATGCCCCACTGAGTGGCCAGCTGGTTTTGCACTGCCCACAGCTGGAGCTGTGCCTTCCCAACTCAGGCGGGCATTACTTCCTATCCTTGGTCCTCTAGGGTGAGGAGGGAAGCCAGGAACTGAAAAAAGGTGGATGGGGATGGGGCACCTGCAGCCTGTGCTATGCTCAACCCTTATGGGCACCCTGGAGAGGTGTGACAGCTGAGACCTCCTAGAGGCATGACTGGTTGCAGATAGGTCCCTTGTCTGAGCTTCCCTCAAGGGATTCTGGCACGACCCCCACCCCTCTCATCCACATTTTGGACCCCAAAAATATGTCCCCAGCTTGCCCTAACTCTTGAACCAGGAGCCCATACCTTACATTGGATCTTTAGGGCTCCGGAACCCCCAATAAAAGTTCACCAATTGGTCTAGCCACCTCCCTTTTCCCAGAGCTGGGCTGCCCTCATCACCACCACCACGCCACCCCGTTTCCCAGGCACCCTCGAATCCCCTTCCGGGGCTGGGAGCTCAGCCCAGCCTCAGGGTCCGGCGGTGGGACAATGGCCCCGTTGGCGCTTCCGAGACAAACGCGCCTTGTTGAGCCGGCGGCGGGGGCGCGGCGCTGCGCTCGGGGACGCTGAATGCGGCTTCTGTGCGTTCCGGGCGGGCGCGGAGAGGCCGGGAGGGGGCCGGGGCCAGGGCGCCTATTGGCCGCAGCACCGGGGGACGGGCCAGGCGGCCGCACCTGGCCGGAGTAAGTGCGGCGGCGGCGGAGGCGGGAGCATGGTCCAGGCCCGGTGGAGTCGGGGGCCCGGGCGGGTACGCCCCGCCGCCTAGTAAGGGCCCGGGCGGCGCGGCCCGGGACGAACCAGCCACGCCAAGCCCGAGGAGAACGGGGCCAAGGTATGTTCTGGGGGCCCAGGACCCACCGCCAGCTTGTGCCCTGCCGGGGGTCTCGGCCGGTACTCCCCAAACCTCCAAACTGGGACCGCAGTCAGACTCAGACTCAGAGCTGAGTGTTTGGGGAGTGCTGCACAACTGCTCCAGGGTCCCAGTGCCCCTGCCGCTGACAGAGGGTGGGCAGGTGGGGGCAGGGAGGGGGCAGGTTGGTGTGTGCCCTGCCCTTGATTTCTTCCTCGTAGACCCCCGTCCAGGGTTTCCCAGTCCTTGGATGTGGGGTGGGTGGAGCTGGGTTGGAGCTGGAAGTCCATTAATGATTAATCTTGGACACAGCAGCCTGAGCTCTGGAGGAGGAAGGGCAGGGATCTCCCCTGTTCCCACCAGCGCTCTCCCCAAGGAGGAGGGGCATCCGACCAGGGGCTAGGGGCCAGGAGAAGGGATGGGTCCCCTCTGCTTGGGGAAGGCCCTGTCCTAAACCACAGAGGGGGCAAGGCCACCAAAGAGAGGCATGTGGGAGTAGGACAAACCTTGATATCCAGGAAGGGCCCACAGGAAATCCAGCCAGTTGAGTTTCCAGCACCAGTTCCCAGGAGGGGGTCCAGCTTGGTCTGTCCCCTCAGTATCAAGCCAGTATTTGGTCACAGCACAGAGCAAGACTGTGGTCTCTTCCCAGTGGAGCCCTTCTCCCCACCTGTCTTGAGCAGGAGAGGGTATGATCACACATCTGGCTGCAGTAACCCACACCAGTGGGGGGGAGGGAGAGAGGGCTGCAGACCTGACACCTGATCGCCTGTGTTGCCAAGGTGACAGGTGCCATGAAAATCCTCAGGAGGACAATCCCGTTGGGAGAATCCAACCTCTTCCTTTACCAAGGGGGTGACCCAAGGTCCAGGGAGGGTAAGGCACGAGCAGGCCTGGGCCAGAGCAGCCCCAATACTGCTGCACTGTATTTTGCCCTGCAGCGGAGACATTGCTACCATCCCCATTATCCTTATGGAGAAACTGAGGCTCCAGGCAATTCAGTGACTTGCCCAAGGTCACATAGTTCAAAGGTGGCTGAGTTGACTACAGATCACAGGAGTCCTGTCCCAGCCTGCATCTCAGGACCAAAGCCCTGCTCAAGACCTCTCTGCTGCTCTGGGGTCCTGGGCTCTTGGATCTGCCTGTGCTGCCCCAAACCCCTAGCTCAGGACCCCTCCCCCTCCTTGCCTTCCTAGCTCCCAGCTCTGCCTGACACTCAGGGGGTGGGCAGGCTGCTACCCTGGGAGCAGAGACAACAGAGCCCTGTTCCCAGCTGCCACCTCGGGCTGCTTCATTCCCTGCTTCTCACTCAGGCAGAGCCCTGCCTGAAGGAAGCTCCCTGTGGACAAAGAAGCCTGCCTGCTTCCCACATATCCCCTTGTCCAATGGACATGGGTCTGCTGTTTGAGAGCATGGGTTGGAGGCCCTCTTGTCACCCCGCAAGAAAGGGGTGTATCCCTGACAGTCCCCACTCTGGGCCCTAACAGACTGTGTCACCCCAGTGAGAGGCAGTGATTAACCTGGGAGAATGAGACACAGATGGTAGAATTCCAGGCATGGCAGCAGGCTTGTGAAGGGCTTCTTGCTTCACTTTGAGTGAGGAATATGAAGAACAACCCCTTTTGTGAGCCTTATTCTACTCCAGACGGGAAGGGCAGGATTGAGCAGAGGTGCCCATGGGGATCAGTGGGCTGGGGGCTGGAGGAATCCCCAGGTGAGGAGTGATGGTTGGAAAGAACTGGCGTCCCAGACAATACCTTCTTTCCCACCTGCCAGTTCCAGGTGGCTTGGGCACTCCCAGGCCCGGTCCCAACAGTGCCCTGACTTGTCATGGGACCTTAGGCAAGTCTTTTCTTATCTGTGCCTCAGCTTCCCCCGATGTGAAACCTGGGGGTTAGGGAACTTGGGTTTGGAGCATGGGAAGTACGGGTGTTTGGATGAGGAGGGTAGCCTCCCAGAAGTCTGCACTGGTGGGTTCTGTTTTTCCTGCCAAGTGGGTCTAGAAGGGTCATGATAATAATCTGAGGTATGAGCAAAGGGCTCTGCATGCCTCGTCCGTCTCATTTGATCCTCACAGCAAGCCCTTGAGAGGGTCAAAGTATTCCCATTTTTAAGAGGTGAGGCTCAGAGAGGTGAAGTCACCTGCCCAAGACTGCCCAGCTGGGGAGTGATGGAGCCAGACTTCATAGCCAGAGCATCTCAGCCTCTCCAGGAGGGGAGAGGCAGGTGGGCGGACCTAGGACGTGGTGCAGAGCAACTGCTCAGCACTTTGGAAAAACCTTTATATTGTTACATATTTTTATGCAAACAAGTGCATGGCATTCCTTTAAAAAACATTTCAGTCAGAGTGCCTGGGTGGCTCATTCAGTTGAGCGTCCCACTTTGGCTCAGGTCGTGATCTTGTGGTTCCTGAGGTTGAGTCCCGAATCAGGCTCACTGTTGTCAACACAGAGCCCGCTTCGGATCCTCCGGCCGCCTCTCTCTCCCTGTCCCTCCCCTGTTCATGTTCTCTCTCTCTCTCTCTCAAATATTAAAAAAAAATAAGTAAGTGAAAACAGTTCAGTCATGCTAGAAGATACAGAGAATGATATTACCAACCTCCACATACTCACCTCTGGTGTTCTCAGTAATTTTGGTGCCAATAAAGAAATGACTGACTTCTTGGTTAACCTGTTCTTTGCCACTCTGAAGCTACTTTGGGGCAACTCCAGTCTGGTGGTGATTTTGCCCAGGCAAGGCAGTGTAGCAGGAAGAGCTTGCCTGTAGTTCTGACTTTGCCCATTTAGCCCCTCCACAAGTTTCTGGGCCTCAGTTTTCCCACCTGTCACATGGGCCAGCAGGTGACACTGGGAAACCTGTTGAGGTCCCAAGTATGGGTGCCATTTGAAACAGTAAAGACAGGTGACCCTGCAAGTTCAAAAAGTGCTTTCTGAGTCATCAAAGACATTGCCCTCTTTTCAGTCAGCTGCCAGGCCTGGTACCCAACTGGCAGCCATTCCCCCAGCCAAGGGGGCAGTAGGAGCAAGATGTCAGGGCTGACAGTTTGGGGGGGATCCTGCAAGCCAGCAAGTTGGGGTTCAGCTTAAGTGCCTCTCTGGGCGATCCTACCCATCTCTACTCCAGCACCCCACTCCAGAGGGACAGAGTGAGGAAGCTTCTGGGTCCTTGCAGGTCACTGCCCCAGGACTCCCGGGTGGAGGGCCAACCTCTCCCATCTGCACCTTTAACTGTGCAGCCCACACTTCCCAGATTCTCTGTCCCATGCCCCTGCTGCCTTTTCCCCACTGTAGGACACTGAGGCTCAGAGAGGGCTATGGTCACACAGCAAGGTGGCGTATGGTTCAGACTAGCCACTTCTCCCTCCTTCACCAGTCAGACTAGTTTTTCAAAATGGAAATATCTTTATTTTTCATTTTAGTTTTTTTCCCCAAGTAATACAGACTCTTGGTAAAACAAAATTATATATGTGTGTATATATATTTTCACTTCATTATGTATTGTGGACACCACTTAAATGAATACATAACAAACCATGGGGTTAATGGCACGTAATATTTTTAACCATCCCCTATCATTGGGCATTTAAGTTGTTTCTCTCCTCTTTGCTAAACTTTTGCACCCATCTCAGATCTCCTGTTAGATTATCTTCTGTGAACAAATTACCACGGATGGTATTGCTGGGTCTGAGATTGGACACTTTTAGAACTGTAATAAGTTGCTGTCAAACCTGCAGTCCGAGCACTGTAGGGAGAGGTTTTTTGCTCCACTTTTGAAGTGTCCTCCCCATGAGATTCCCTTCCAGCTACAAGAAACAACCCTAGGACACCCTCACCCGTTCAGCTTCTCTGCCAGAGCCCTGTTGCTATGCACACTGAGCAAACAGCATTGATGACCAACAGTCAGGGAATGGTTCATGGGGAGCAGTGTTCCACAGAATGTTCTACAGGGAGTGGCTCTAGAGGCAACCTTTATCTTTATCTCCTTAGGGGGCTCTTCCCCTCCCTGCTCTCTTAAGTTCAGGGCTCTTCACCTTCCTCACCCTTTCTTTGATGATCCCATCTGCCCCTCCGACCTCAGTCCCCACCTCTGTGCCCATGACCCCCAACCTCTTTCTCCTGAGGTCTCCCTCTTATGCTCCAGGCAAGGGATCCTATTGCTCTTTGCACATTCTACAAGCATCCCCCACACACCCCAGACTTAACTGGTCCTAAATGGAAACTGAAAATTGAAACACAACTCCAATAGTAAACATACGGCTCTCTTATCTGCCCGCCACTCAGGGACTAGCTCCACCCCCAGCCAGCCAGTCACCCAATAGGAGTTCTTCCTTCCCCTCTTCCACACCCTATCACTCACCAAATGTTGTCTATTCCATGGCCTACAGATGGCCCCAGTTCATTCCCAGTGCTTTCCTTGGTCCAGGTCATTTCACACCTGGACAGCTATAACAACCACTGTCAAGGTCTGCTGGCTTCTCCCAGTCCTTCCCCACCTCTACTGTTTGTTTTCCATCCAGCAGCCTGATGGGAATCCCATCTCCTCACTCCTCTGCTGAAGACCTTCCCAGGGTTCCCCATTGCCCACAGGATCCAGCCCAGATTCCTTAGCATGCCTCCCAAAGTCTTGCATCTCCTGCCTGCCCCTGCCCCCTTTCTGGCTGTGCCTTCAGTCTCCCCTGTACACCCTGTACACTCTGACATACACACATACTGGACAGGCCAGCCAAGCTGAACATTTGTTAGTTTCTCGAGTCCCCTGGGTCTTTGCACAGGCTTTTCTGTCTGCCTCCTGGCTCATTCTAGGGTAACAAGTGCATTAATTAATGCTAGCTGCTGTAACAGACAAGCCCCAAGTTCCAAAAGGCTTGACACACTGGAAGTTTAGTTGTCATTTTGAAATGGGTGTTAGGAGAGTGGTCAAGCGAATACCAGGCTCCTCCCATTCGTAGCCCTGCCCACTTCCAGATCCTTAAAGACCACCTCATTCATCCAGCCTATGGGAAAGGAGACCACAGAGAAGGCCTGCCCGCTTAACATCAACAGTTATTATTCTGCTTACATTCCATTGGCCAGAATTCCGTCACATAAGGACACTGAACTGCAAGGGAGGATGGGAGATGTAGTTTGGCCATGTACTCCAGGAGAAAAGGGAACTAACTGCCTTTAAATTGGAAAACATGCAGCAGCTTCTGCTACCAGGGCCCTGTAAGCCCAGGAAGCTTCCCTGACGATGCTTTTCCTGCTCCCCAGGCTGGATCAGGTGTTTGTGTTCCAGCAAGGCCCACCAATGTGTCCTCCATCACAACCTGCAGCTGTCTGCTCCTCTCACTCCCAGGAATGTGAGCCCAGAGCTCTGGCACAGGACAACATGAACCCCAGCACTGGGCATGGTGCAGGTGCTCCCTAAGTATCTGTGGAACAGATCAATTTAAAACTCAATATGGTCATGAAAAAGATATCCACAATCTATTGATATGTGGGAGGAGCCTGGGGAGCAAGTTAAAAACAAAATGTGCTTCCCTGAAGAGACCCTTCTGTCATCTGTATGGGTTAATATAGACAGAAAAAATACGGGGAGGCTTGTGCTAAAGTTTTAAGGACAGTGGCCTCCTTTAATGGTCTTCTTTACATTTTTCTGTAATTGTCTGTTTTTTTTTTTTTTCAGTGAGCATGCACTGCTTTTATGATTAAAATAAATTTTGCCAGGGTTTAGGGGTTGAACTGGCCAGAGATGGTGTCACTATCAATATTCTGAGAAGAGAAGCCTCTGGCAGGGCTGAAAGCATAGGTTCTGCTATCAATGCTTCCTACTCTAGAAAGCTTTCCTTCACGAGGCTCTTCTTTACTGGCCTTCCCACCCCACCCATGACCTCACCTTTGGTTCAGGAGCCTGAGCTCCACTCCCACCTGCCTGAGGTCCTTAACCTTGTGTGTCATATCTGGTCCTTGAGACTCAGCTCCCTCCTCTATAAACTAGAGGTGGTAACAGGGCCTCCCAGTGGCAAGGATTAGGGGTGTGTGTGATGCATGGGAAGTCCCAGGCGCCAGACTGTGTTTGGTCAAAAGTCCACACTCATAAACCCCCTCTCTGCTGTTTGATGCCCGCTCTGCCCTGACTCACGCCCATATATTTATCTGTCTTCAGACTAGCTTGGTCCAGGACAGATAAAACGACTCTACTCCATGCCCTGGACCAATCCAGCACTCACAGATATAAGGACTCTCAGCCTCCCCAGTGGCTGTTTAAACTCTGGTATTTCATGGGTACCTGAGGGTTGCTCCCAGGCTGTGTGGGGCTCTGGGGGAAAGAGCAAAATGTCAGAGCAGTGTCAGATGCCTGCTGTTCCCTGGGAGGAGCTGGCAGCCGCTCAACTTATGACAGTGCTCAGTGTGGGATACATGATTGTCACAATAATGGTTACTATTAGCTGAGAGTGACACCTTGGTCCCTAGAGCCCCCCATGCCTGAAGGAAGGGTGTGAGGTGCTTTTCTGGGCATTCTCTGTTCATGGGCAAGGCTGAATCCAGACCTGAAGACAGACCTGAACCCAGCTAAGAGCGAGGTATAAGAGATTTCAGTGCCTGGGCTGAGCCTGAGGGCCACTGGGGTTTGGGACTAGGGCCCCTAGAACTGCCTCTTCCTGTCAAGACCTTGGGAAGTATTGGCAACTGCAGTCAGGACAGGCATGATCCATACTGCCTCTTTGATGAAGGACTTGGAGCTCAGAGAGGTGAAATCTCATCAGATACCTCCTCCCAGAGCTGGTCAGGTTTTCCGCCTCCAGGAGGCCTCCCAGGCTGGGTTACTTGCTCTCTGGGCTCCCAGAGATTTTAGACAAACCTTGGTCTCTGGTTGTGTCTTAGAATCTTGAAGCCTTGGAGTTTGGCAAGTCTGCATTTGGACTCTGGCTCTGACTGCCCCCTGCTAACTGTGTGACCGTGGACAGATGAGTTCACCTCTCTGAGCCTTGGTTTCTTCACCTTGTGAGTGGGCTAATCCTGGTGCTTCCTGCCTAGGGCAGGCGTGCAACTTAAATGAGGTGCAGCTTGAGGAGAAATTAACCTCCCTGCCCCACTTGCCTTCCTGTCCCTTCCATGGCCTTTGAGCCTATCCCAGACTCTCTGCAGGGCTCTGCGGCTGCTTGTGTCCTTTATCCAAGGACACCTGAGACCTTGCTGAGCCCTTGGATGAAGGAGCTGCCTGGCTGCTGAGGTCTAGAGACAGTCAGGGACCACCCAGAGGGTGCTCCTGGCAGAGGGCCAAGGCAGCACCTGCAAGGTATAGACACATGCCACCTGCTATCCCCAGGGAGGGAGCTCATGAATATTCACACCCGCTGGAGCGTGAGGGAGCCAGCCAGAATACTGCTGGGTGTCATTGGAGCGTTCCTGTTTCCCAGTGACCGCAGAGGCAGCCTGAGAGTCAGACGTGGCTCATACAGGGAGAGGAAAGGGGCAACCAGCTACGGCCCGAGGTGAGTGTGTCTTCCTCCACTCCTGCATTTAGGTCCCTGGGAGAGCAGGACACCTGGAACCAAGGCCTGCCAGTAGTGATGCTGTAGGACAGAAGGTTTACCATCCTGGGCTCGGTTTCCCTATGTGCACACTGTGGGGATGAGTCCTGTTTCTCCTTCATTCTCTAGAGGATGCTGGTCCAACGAAACAGGAGGATTGCTGGGCCTGGCCTGGAGCCAGCTGTCAGCACAGATGGAAGGTGATGTGGCTAGGGTAACCAAGAAGGACAGGAATAGATGGGGTGGACTAGGGAGGGCGTGCCATCTACCCTGAGTGCCTGGAACTGTCACGACCATAGGCAGAGGAAGAGAGACCCAGGTTCTAGTTCTGTCTCTGCTATGGCTGTGCTGTGTGACCTTGAGGGTGGCCCTGTCCTCTCTGAGCCTTAGCCTCTCTGCCGTCTGTCTTCCAGATTGGAAGCTGTGAGGCTTGGGCCACACTGAAATTGTGCCGGGTACCCCATGGCCTTGGACCTGGGGCTTTTAGCTGACTGCAAGCCTCCATCACGGGCCAGTGAGCACACACCTTGAAGCACCTGTGACTGGGACCTGGGAGGGTAATAATAATGATGATAATAATAATAATGGTGGCAGCTCCTGCACAGGGAGTGTCTGCTCTGTGCCAGCCCTGTGCTGGGCACTTTCTTTGTGGGATGCTTTCTGCAGAGCACCCTGTGATGGAGAGTTGGTGGCATCATTTTGGAGGAGAAACTGAGAACCAGAGAGAGACACAGCCTTGCCTAGGGCACACACACAGAAAGGAAGCAGCACAACTGGGTTTCAAATCCAGGACCTTGGCCCCAAGGTGCTGGCTCCAGGTGCCTCTCATATGTGTGACTCACATATGTGGCTCTCACACTTGTATTAGCCCTGGCCATGCTCTGCTCTGAAGGTCAGGGGGGTCATTCATCAAACATTTACCAGGTGCCAGGCTCCAAGAGCTCAGGGATGAGTTAGCTTCAGGCTTGCGTGTGGCTGGGCACAGAGGAGATCTCTCCTTCCATAAGCCTGGGACTGCGAACCAGGACTGGGCCCTGGTCAATAGTGATAATAATAATTAATGTGGATTGATCTCCATTCGTGTGCATGCATTCTCTCATTCAAATCTCAGTCTCATGACTATTTCCTTTCTGCCAGGCTCCTGGCTGCCAGCCAGCCCCTCTCTGGGCCTCGGTCTACCCAGGGGCTCTACCAAGGGCCCTGTTTGCCCCTATCTTGCCGTTGTGTGTCCATTGTACATGTGAGGAGACTGAGACTCTTGAGAGGGTGAGCGACATGCCTAAGTTCACAGAGGCCAGGCAGGAAGGAAACCACTAGCCTTGAATGCTTCAGGCTGACACAGTAGGGACCAGCCACCGAGGCCCCCCGTCTGTCCACTCTTCATCCTGGCTGCCCTAGCCCAGCCCACAGAGGCCAGAATCTGCTGTGCTGCTGAGAGAGAGCCCCATTAGCCACACTGTGGCCTCCTGCAGTGGATCTTCTGGCTGCACACTCACTTCCTGCAGGCTTGGGACCAGGCCTGGGACGTGCCAGGCAGAGGCTGTCATGGACAGAGCTGGAAACTGCATATTGGAGGCCGACAGACTTGGGCTTCAATCCCGGCCCTGCCCCCTGCCTTACCTGGGCAAGTCACATCACCTCCTGGAGCCCCAGTTTCCCCATCTGCAAAAGGGGGGTGACAGTGGGGTCTGCCTGGCAGGATAGCTGAGCAGAACCCATGAGATGCTCTAGAGAAACCCCTGTCCAGGGCCTGCCTCATAGCAGGGGCTCAAAAGTGAAACCTGAGGGCCGGCATGGTTTGAGGAAGCCCAAGTAGTGGAGTGAAGTAGTGACGCAGTGATGGGAGGGTTGGGGGCGCTGTCCTGGGCAAGTCTAGGCAGAGCCTGATTGGTGGTTTTGGGAAGCTGGTCTGCCCCCTACTGCTGGGCCTCCACCCCAGAGCCTGTGCCTTCAGCTTCCAGATTTCTGGAAAGTGCCCTGGTGAGTTGCGCTGCTGGGACAAGGGTGGGCCCTTGGGATCTAGGGAGGGCAAGAATTTTACCCTTCCCTGTTTTAAAGTCAGAGAACCTGAGGCCTAGGACCTCATTCAGGGTTTGGGCCCGAGTCTGAGGCTCTGGCCTGGCCCAAGGTTCTGCCCTGTTCCCCCCTAACCACCTCCTCGCTGGGCCCCCAGGGAGCGGGAGGCCAAATGGGGCACTTGATGCATGGGTCCAGTTTGTGCTTGGTGGGGGACAGGGAAAGGGGGGGGAGACGGCGGGGGGCTAGCAGCCACTCCTTGTTCAGGAGAGCTCACCCTGACAGAGACCAGGAGCAGGTCCCCAGGAGCTCAGGAGGGAAACAGCTAATACTCTTTGAGAGAGACCTATGTATTAATTGCTTTGCCTACTCCCATCTCTGGAAGAGCCAGTGAGGGGGTCTATCAGCTTCCCAATTTCAGAGATGAGAAACTGAGGCTCTCAGGTTCCTGTGATTGAAACACAGGCCTGGGGCTTCCAGAGCCTGAGGTCGGCACCTCCCCCTCCATTACCATACTGTCTAGTCACCTTACCCCACCTGGCAAGCTTTATGATCTTACCCCACCTGGCAAGCTTTATGACCTATTATTTAAACATATTAAATATATTTTATTGCCTTTTTATTAAAAAATCCATATTCCCTTTTGGGGCACCTGGGTGGCTCAGTCAGTTAAGCGTCTGACTCTTGATTTCGGGTCAGGTCATGGTCTCATGGTTTGTGGAGTCAACCTCCATCCCCAACCACTGGTTGCCTGCTTGGGATTCTCTCTCTCCCTTTCTGCCCCTCCCCTGCACATGTGTGTTCTCCCTCTCAAAATAAACTTAAAAAAAATATATAACTCCTTTTTAAAAAAGTAATTGTTACAGAAACGCATAATATTGAAAAATATTCCATTATGTACCCCTTTCCAAGCTATGTAGAGGATACTACGGCTCAAATTGAGAATACTGCCCTCCAGTTGTTTCTGGGCCTGCATGTATATTTACCTATATATGCATATGGATGTGGGGGCATAAAGTTCTGGAACTTTCTTTTTTCACACTAATAGATCATGTGCTTTTTTTTTTTCTAGTATTAAAAAAAAAATTTATTCATTTTGAGAAAGAGAGAGAGAGAATCCCAAGCAGGCCCTTTGCTGTCAGTGCAGAGCCCAACTTGGGGCTCAATCTCACGTGAGATCGTGACCTGAGCTGAGATCAAGAGTCGGTCACTTAACTGACCGAGCCACCCAGGCGCCCCAGATCATGATGTTTTTTGAGTCAGTCCACTTAGCTCTGCCTTGTTTTGTTATTTGGTACAGATGACTCCATCTGGGAAAAGGCCTTGGTTTGTGTAACAGTCCCCTCCCCCCCATAGACACAGATTGTTTCTAGTTTTTCAAATTTCTGACTAAACTTCTATGAACACCGTTACATGTGTGACTTTGTCCAAGTGTTTCTGTAGAATAGTTGGAATTTGGAGAGCTTATACCTTCCTCCTTTGATAGAATAAACGGCTCTCTGGAAACATTCTCCCCCATTCTCATTTACTCCTGACCTGTCCACCTTGCCCACCTAAGAGTGAACAGGGATATGTCATTGTCATGAGGGAAGCCAAATTCCCTCTCACATAGTTTCTTCCTCTGCAACTTGTTTCTTCATGTCCTTTCCAGTGACAAGAAATTTCTAGATAAGCAGAAGACTCAGGGATGGGTGCTGGCTGGTGGGGTTGGCCTGGAGTGCTCCTTCTCTGAGAAGCGTTTATGGGTGCCTTGGGTAACTTTCCCAGAGGGGAGTGTGGGGTCCCCCTCCAGGCTGGTTATTTAGCCTCTGCCCCAGGGATGGTGGGAACGTGCCATGCGTGTGGTCACGGGGCAGCATGCATGACTTCTTGTGGCCTCAGGGGCCCAAGGCCCCCATGCAGCTTGTGTCAGAACAGGAGTGGAAAGTTTCATGCCCTGGGCTTATAGCTAAAGGGAGGTAGGAAGGCATCCTGAGCCCCAGCTCTCTCCTGGACTCCCATCCCTCAGCATGAACTACCTCCATTACAGTTCATGCCTCATTCCTCTGCTATTAGGGTTGCCACAATTAGACCAAAACTAGACTGAAAACTTTCCCCAAGCCCGCCGCCCCCCCCAAAAAAAAAACCAGGACACCAAACTAAATTTAATTTTCAGATAGACATTGAATAATTTTTATTGTGTCCTGTATAATATTAAAATTAAATTTTATTCATTGTTTATCTGAAATTCAGGATTACCTGGGCAAACCTGCCTGCTGGAAATTAGAGAAGAGGTAGGCATGTGGGCAGAGGCTGTGCTGTGTGACTTGAACCCTCTCCTTCCTCGCTCTGAGCCTCAGTTTCTCCATCTGCCTGCCCTACAGATGCAGGGACATAGGGGCCAGCGAAAGGAGCGGAAGAGCCTCAACCCTTCACCAGGCAGCTGGGAAGGGTGGCACGGGGAACAGGTGGGACTGGTTAGGTCCTTTGAAAGGTGAGACATCCAGGCCCTGGGAGGTCCCTGGCCCCAGGCCTGGGGGGACAGGGCGTTGGGAGACGGTCTTCTTCTCCATCTTAGAAAATGATTTCATTATGAAGCACAAAAATGTATAAGAAATACACTGATGAACACCCAGGTATCCACCCTACCCCTCAGCTTAAAAATTAAAACCAAGGGGCACCTTGGTGGCTCAGTCAGTTAAGCATCCGACTTCAGCTCAGGTCATGATCTTGCAGTTCACGAGTTCAAGTCCCACATCAGGTGAGCTCGAGCCCTGCTTCAGGCTCCTCACTGACAGTGTGGAGCCTGTGTGGGATTCTCTCTCTCGACCCCTTGCTTACTCTCACCCTCTCTCTCCCCCCCAAAAATGAAAATTAATTAATTAATCAATTAAAATATTTATTTTATTAAAATTTTTTAATGTTTATTTAATTTTGAGAGAGAGAGAGAGAGAGAGAGAGAGACAGAGCAGGAATGGGGGAGGGGCAGAGAGAGAGGGAGACACAGATCCCAAGCAGGCTTCAGGCTCTGAGCTGTCAGCACAGAGCCCGATATGGGGCTCGAACCCACAAACTGGGAGAACATGACTTGAGCTGAATCTGCCACTTAACCAACTGAGCCACCCAGGCACTCATCAATTTAAAAAAAATTTTTTTTTATTAAAAAATTTTTTTAACGTTTATTTATTGTTGAGACAGAGAGAGACAGAGCATGAACGGGGGAGGGGCAGAGAAAGAGGGAGACACAGAATCGGAAGCAGGCTCCAGGCTCTGAGCTGTCTGCACAGAGCCCGACGCGGGGCTCGAACTCATGGACCACGAGATCGTGACCTGAGTTGAAGTTGGACGCTTGACCGACTGAGCCACCCAGGCGCCCCTAAAAAAATTTTTAAAACCAAACCAGACAGTAGAACCTTCTCCCTTCTCCCTGTCCCATTCCCGGGTCTCTGTCTGCATTGGCTTTGCCCACTGTCTCTGTCTGCAACCCTGTTTCTCCCTCTCCATGTGTTTGTCACTCTGTCCCTGTATAGACCTTGCTGGGGCCACAGAGCTGGCAGAGGCCAGTCCCAATGTCAAAGGCTTCCCCTCAACCCAGCCAGGCCTGGGGTAGCAGTGGAGGCTCCCTGGGGCCGGCCTCCTAATGCTTGCCCTGTTCTCTGCTCCCTCAGTTGTCTGAGATGCCGCTGCCGCAGAAGAAGCGCTGGGTGTCCATGGCCAAGGGGCTGGTGCTAGGAGCACTCTTCACTAGCTTCCTGCTGCTGCTGTACTCCTATGCTGTCCCCCCGCTGCACGCTGGCCTGGCCTCCACGTGAGTGGCCCTCCTGGAGGGCCAAGGGGTGGGAGGGTTGGGGTGAGGGGCACCCTGTACCCTGCACCATGCTGTGCTGGGCAGAAACTGTACTGAGGACAGAGCTTGCTGTGTAATCCTGGGCCTCAGTGTCCTCATCTGTGAAGTGGGCATAATAGAGCCTGCCTCGTGGATCATGTGAAGAAAATAACACTGTCTGTGTACAGGGCTCGGATTATCATCTGAGGTTGCAATGGGACTGGGAGGCGGGGGTGACTTGTCCAAGAGAACTCACTGGCACAGGGCCGAGATTCAGACTGCGGTCTGTCTGCCTCCAAGCCTGGCTCTTAGCCGTGAGGCTCTCCCACCTCCTCGTGGGGCTGCTCAGCCAGGCCTGGCATGGCTTGTGCTCTTAGTTGGTGGTATTAAGTTGAACTAGAGGAAATTACCGATTATTGACTTTCTGGTCAAAAACTGACCTACAAAATATGTGGTTCAACCTAATCCTAGTTCATGATAAATGTAGGATGTGGTGGCCATGGATGAGACAAGAACCAGCAAGCTTGACCTCACACCAACACCGCAAATGGGGCCTGTTATTTTCCCCATTTCATAGATAAGGAAAGTGAGTCCCAAGAGACCACACCACTTGCCCACGCATCACAGCCTGGACACAGGCCTGTCTGGTCCCCTGGCCTGCCTCTCCTGCTATCACCATCCTCAACAACCCTGATCTTTAGATACCAGTGGGCAGGGGGTGCTGAGTCCTGAGGGCCCCAGCAGACCCTGAGGCTCTCCCCACCATTTCATCCACAGCAGGACCCCAGAGGGCACAGCACCCTGCTCCCCGGCCCCGGGTGAGCCAGAGGTGCCCACCCTCGCCAACGGTTCTGCAGGAGGGTGCCAGCCTCGGCGCCACATCGTGTTCATGAAGACGCACAAGACGGCCAGCAGCACGCTGCTCAACATCCTGTTCCGCTTTGGCCAGAAGCACGGACTCAAGTTTGCCTTCCCCAACGGCCGCAACGACTTCGACTACCCGGCTTTCTTCGCCCGCAGCCTGGTGCAGGACTACCGGCCCGGGGCCTGCTTCAACATCATCTGCAACCACATGCGCTTCCACTACGACGAGGTCCGGGGCCTGGTGCCCCCCAACGCCACCTTCATAACTGTGCTCCGTGACCCAGCCCGCCTCTTCGAGTCCTCCTTCCACTACTTCGGCTCAGTCGTGCCCTTCACGTGGAAGCTCTCGGGCCACGACAAGCTGGCCGAGTTCCTGCAGGACCCAGACCGCTACTATGACCCCAACGGCTACAACGCCCACTACCTCCGCAACCTGCTCTTCTTCGACCTGGGCTACGACAGTGGCCTGGACCCGGGCAACCCGCAGGTGCAGGAGCACATCCTGGAGGTGGAGCGCCGCTTCCACCTGGTGCTCCTGCAGGAGTACTTCGATGAGTCCCTGGTGCTGCTCAAGGACCTGCTGTGCTGGGAGCTGGAGGACGTGCTCTACTTCAAGCTCAATGCCCGCCGCGCCTCAGCCGTGCCGCGCCTCTCCGGGGAGCTGTACCAGCGCGCCACGGCCTGGAATGTGCTGGACGCCCGCCTCTACCGCCACTTCAACGCCAGCTTCTGGCGCAAGGTGGAGGCGTTCGGGAGGGAGCGCATGGCCCGCGAGGTGGCCGCCCTGCGGCGCGCCAACGAGCGCATGCGGCACATCTGTATCGACGGGGGCCGAGCCGTGGATGCCGCCGCCATCCAGGACTCGGCCATGCAACCCTGGCAGCCGCTGGGCGCCAAGTCCATCCTGGGCTACAACCTCAAGAAGAGCATCGGGCAGCGGCACGCGGAGCTTTGCCGTCGCATGCTCACGCCTGAGATCCAGTACCTGATGGACCTCGGTGTCAACCTGTGGGTCACTAAGCTCTGGAAGCTCATCCGGGACTTTCTCAAGTGGTGACATCCGGCCCACCGGCAGCCCCCTCTGCCCGCTGCATCGCTGAGGAGGGGCCGGGCAGGGGCCTGCTGGCCTCCCCTATGCCCTCCTGGTGCCACCCCGGCTCTGGGGGTAAGGTGGGGCTGCTGCAGGGGCGCAGCCAGCCAGGACTGGGCCCAGGCACACAGGGCCTGAGATCAGTATTTGACTAGTTATAGCTTTTTTAAAAGTTAAATCTCCTCCCCTCCAAAAACGAATGTTCTGTTTCCTGCCTCCTCTTAAAGGGGAGACTTGAGAAGTAAAAGAATTTGATGTTGTGTTTTTTGTTAATCAGCCTCAGTGGTGCTGACTGATGGGGCCCTGGGTGGGAGGTGACTGAGGATGGGGGGACCCGCAAGAGAGCATGGCGGGTACCTGAGAGTGTCTGTGGGACAGAGCCCATTTGACGTGACGGGGTTTGATGTGCACCTGTTACATGCTGAAGTCCTGAGTGGTTGAAGGACTCCCATGATTTACCAAGACCTGGAAGAGCGTGTGTGTGTGTGATCATCCTGGGACTATTCCAGTCACTTACTCCAACTGAACATTGGTTATGTGCCCAGCGTTGGGCTAAGTGGGTTGGTTATCTCAGTTCATCTTCGTCAAAACTTAGCAACGTGGGAACTGTTATTTTCTCATGCCAGAGATGAGGAAGGGAGCTCAGAGAGAGAAAGTCGTTTGGCCAACATCACACAGCAAGTAAGTGGTAGGACTGGAACAGAGGCCGGGAAGGGTGGTGTGTGCAGCCAGATTTGAGACCGTCCAAGTGGTGTGTGTGTGTGTGTGTGTGTGTGTGTGTGACAGGGAGTACTTGGTGTAGCGCTGAGCAGCAAGCCCCGGGCCCAGGCTGAGTTCCTTGTGTAATCTCATTAATCCTCACAATCACCCTTTGCAGTAGGCACAGTTACCATCCCATGTTAAAGATGTGGGAATTGACATTCTGTGTGACAGCAAAAGGGACTTTCCCGAGATCTTGCAGGTACACATTAGACCCAAAACTAAACCTTCTTCTCCCTGGGACCCCAGATGCCTTGCCTCAATGCCTGTGCACCCTGTCCCTGTTTACCCCATCTCTCCACTGACCACTCCAGGCTGCCTCACCATCTGCTTGTACTCCACCCTGCCCAGGCTCTGGGTTTCCCCCTTCCACCCTGGGGTTCAGTTTAATTAATCCAAAAAAATTTGGCATTTATCAGATAGCTGATGTGCCCCCCAGCCCTGAGCTGGCCCTGAGCATACAACAGTCAGCAAGTTGATCCCTGCCCTCCTGGAGCTCAGGTCCAGAGACAAAGATAGAGGCCAAGCAATCAAGTCACATTGAGTATGACCAACCAAGGTGGGGATGCGTCAGTTCTAACCATCTGTTTCCCTCGGCCTCCCCAGGGGGACAACAGCCCTTTCTGGGGCACGGGACTCTTAGATCTCTAACTAAGAGCCAGCAGCCAGACACAAAAGGCAGAAACCACAGCCAAGTGACTTTATTGGAGACCTGTCTGTACCAGGCTCCAAACCACATGCTTGCACACCTTATCTGAATATCTACAACATCCCAGCTTTATAAACCAAAGCTCAGAGAGGTTAAGTGACCTACCCAAGGCCACACATCTAATTAGTGCCAGTACCACATTTCAAAGCCAGATTAGTCAGCTCTTATCTTAAGCCCTCCCTGAGTTTGAGTCCCTGTTTCTCCTGGGAGCAAGTTTCTGGCCCAAACAGGCTGGGAAGAAGTTAGGGTGACCAGCTGTCTCAATTTCCTCGGACTGTCCCAGTTTTTGCACCAAAAGGTCTCACATCCCGGGAAACTCCTCAGTCCTGGGCAACCAGGATGGTTGCTCAGCCTGGAACAGTTTTGACCCCACCAGCCCCCAGGAGCTACTGTCTATACCTTCTTAAAGTTTCTTTGCAGCAAGCAATAAGCACATCTTTGAGGGCTTTAAATCATATGGAGAAAACTAAGCAGAAGAAGAAAGAGAAAGAAAGAAAGAAAGAAAGAAAGAAAGAAAGAAAGAAAGAGTAAGTTATTATTGACTCCAAATTCATGAGATAATCCCCCTCCCTTTTTAGTAATCAAAAAGAGATGTGACTTAGTGCAATATGATAGTATCTTGGGTTTGTGGAACCCCATAATTTTATTTCATTGGATCTTTAGGGGCCTAAAACTGCCAATAATAATATTATATGTCATCAAATTATTTATTATTAATACTGGCACTTCTAAGCCCTGAGGGATCCAAGGAGAATAAATCTGGCAAATAATAGATGCCAAGAATATAAATTGTCCCATTAGCATTTACTATCTGCCTGATTTGTTTTACGAACATTATAGTTATTAACTCATTTATTAACATAATTAATATTTAACAATACGTAGTTGCGTGGTACTGAACAAGCACTCTGCACCATACAGGAACATGGACAATTCCCTTTGCTCTCCTGAGGAGGCAGCCAAGACTCAGAGAAGCTGAGTAACAAGCCCTACGGTCACTCAGCCAGGCAGCCATAGAGGCAGGATGCAAACCCAGGTCTGTCAGACACCAAGGCTGGTGTTTGCACGCTCCAGACCTTCAGTGCCATTCCAGCCGGCCATCTCAGCCTCAGGACCGAGGTTTTTTCCATGGTTGAAAATGTATGAGGTCTCCGAGGGGCTCTGCGGCTCGTAGCTCGCAGGAACCAGCCTGCTCTAGCCACACCTGGCAGCAGAGGGCGCCACGGTGCCAAATTTGGTCTCAGCCTGTCAAGACATTCCCAGCAGTGGGGGCTGAGGGCACCCACAGTTAGGGCTGAGCCTACAAGCGAAAGCCAGGGTGAGGGTCATGCTGTTCCCTGGGAGAAATTCAGTGGAACTCCCTGTTCCTCTCTGTTATAGGATGAATTGTATCCCCTAAAAAGATATGTTGAAGTCCTAACCCCCAGTTCTCTATGACTGATCTTATTTGGAAATAAGGTCTTTGTACATGTAATCAAGTTAAGATGAAGTCATTAGGGTGGGGGCTAATCCAATATGGCCATAGCTGGTGTCCTTAAAAGAAGTGGCAATGTCATGTGAAGATACCACAGGGACAGTGCCACGTGAAGACAGGCAGAGATTGGCATGATGCAGTTATAAGCCAAAGGCTGATGGTGACCTCCAGAAGCTAAGAAGAGGCAATGAAGGATTCTACCCAGAGTCTCAGAGGGAACAAGGCCCTGCTGACACTTTGATTTTGGACTTCCAGCCTGCAGAACTGTGCAAGAATAAATTTCTGTTGTTCTAAGCCATCCAGTTTGTGTACTTTGTTACAGCAGCCTCAGGACACAAATACATTCTCTGTGCCCAGGGCCCTGCTCTAGGTCAAGCCTCTGCCCCTTACCTGGACTCCTTCCCCGGCTCCCTCCCCCAGGCTTGCTCCTGTGATCCACCCTTCACCTGCAACCAGAGGCCATCCTCTGCTCCGAGCCCTCCACGGTCCCCCTTTCCCTCGGGGAGAAGCCATGCAACTGCAAGCATCTGCGGCTTTGCACGTGCTGTTCCCTCTACTATAAGGCCCCTTTCCCATTGCAGGTCTAACACTGCTGAGTGTTTTCAGAGCAAGCTCTGCTGCCTCCTCTGGACATTCTCTGACAGCCTAGCCCTCAAGCTAGCCTGGGGCTTCTGGGCTCCCCCATCTCAGTCCTGCTCACTCAGGGCCACAACTATGGATACGTTTGTCTGCGAGGCCCCGATGGTATGCTCCTCCAGGACAGGAAAAAACGCAATCAGCCTCTAGTGCCCAGTCCATTGCCTGGCACACAGTTGGTTTTCAATAAATATTGAAAGAGGAAAAAAAGAAAGAAAGAAAGAAAGAAAGAAGGAAAGAAAGAACGTAGCGATAAAGGAAAGAAGGAAGGAAGAGAGGAAAGAAGGAAAGGAGGGAAGGTGGAAGAGAAGAAGCAGAAAAGGGAGGGCAGGGAGTGCCTGGGTGGCTCAGTTGGTTAAGTGTCTGACTTTGGCACAGGTCATGATCTCATGATTTTGTGAGTTCAAGCCCCGCTTCAGGAGAGCTCCGCTCCAAGTTCCTCACTCTCTCTCCCTCTCTCTCTGCCCCTCACTCACGTTAGTCCCCGCTGAGACTGACCTCTGCTTTATATCCTTGGTTACTCTCCCTGTATACCTGCCTCCCATGTTTGGTCTCACTACCTCCACTGCCCTACTTGGGTTTTCCAGGATCACCTCTGGAATAAACTCCCTACACTGGAACCCTTGTCTCAGGGTCTGCCTCTGGGTGAACAAGACTAAGACAAGTACCTACTGTGTGCAAGACCCCCTGCACACAGCATGATCTTTTTACCTGACCAAAGTAGGTCCGCTCCTTGGTGAGCTATAGGAAGAGACTACACCAGGTGGCCTTGCTTCTCAAAGTTTTGGGTTTTTTTTAATTTTTTTTTCAACTTTTATTTATTTTGAGACAGAGAGAGACAAAGCATGAACAGGGGAGGGGCAGAGACAGAGGGAGACACAGAATCGGAAACAGGCTGCAGGCTCTGAGCAGTCAGCACAGAGCCCGACGCGGGGCTCGAACTCTCGGGCCGTGAGATCATGACCTGAGCCGAAGTCCCGAAGTCGGACGCTTAACCGACCAAGCCACCCAGGCGCCCCTCAAAGTTATTTTTTTTTAATTTTTTTTTCAACGTTTATTTATTTTGGGGACAGAGAGAGACAGAGCATGAACGGGGGAGGGGCAGAGAGAGAGGGAGACACAGAATCGGAAACAGGCTCCAGGCTCTGAGCCATCAGCCCAGAGCCTGATGCGGGGCTCGAACTCCCGGACCGCGAGATCGTGACCTGGCTGAAGTCGGACGCTTAACCGACTGCGCCACCCAGGCGCCCCCAAAGTTATTTTTAATAAGAAGATCACAGGGAATAATTCCCAAAGCAGTGACTCCCTGAACAGGAGTAAACAGGCTCCTTTTATTAGGGTTTGGGGTGAATATTCAGAAAGAGATTTTAACATTATAATGAGGCTATCTGTTGGGCATTTAATCACCTGCATAGGCATGGTCCTCAGATGTGTCTTTTCCTGTTCCAGAAATTTGTCAGTTAGTTTCCAAAAGATGAAATTGACAGTTAGGCAGAAGCTTCCAGGAATTTCCTGAGTTTAGGGAGTCAGGGGGTCTTGCCAGTAACAGTCTCATGTGTCCTTGTCTTGGGCTCTGGCTTTCTGCTTGTCCAGAGGGTATGGAGGCAGACTATAGCCAGGAGTCCCCCATCACCCCCACCCAAAGGTCAGGCTGTACATTCACCTGCTGGGTCTGGACCTGGGACGTCTCTCCTCACCCTGAAGCCACGTGCTGTTTGAATCATGGACAGTTGCACCTGACACATCAGGTGGTAGATGGAGCCTGGGACAATTTGGGACACAATGACAATGGGTTCCAGGCCTTTGTTGGGGGTGAGCAGAGGCCAACCCAGCTCAAGGAGGCATCTGATGGGACCACAGGAGTAGAGAGTGGGGAACTGAGGCAGGATGGACAGCAGCCCCTATGCATGTGTGTGACAACAGATGGTGTCCTTCCAACACACCCACATCAACACCGTGGGGAAAGCACCACTGTCCTCATTTTACAAATGACTTTTTGAACCCAGGGCAGCAAGTCTAGGGGCCAGTGCCTCAGGCATCTAGCAAGGAATGGGCCCTACAAGTCACCTTGAGGTAGAGAATAGAGGCCCGGCAGGAAGGGGCTGTCTCTCTGGGGAGGGGTAGGCATGGCGGGCTGCCACTGGGTAAAAGAAAGGAGGTCTGGAGGAGGTCACAGGGCAGGACCTGGACCCCAGACCAGAGACTCAGACACCAGCCTGGCCACCTTGTGTTACGGGAGAAGACTTTAGGCCAGGTAAGTTGGTTTCTTCTTCTGTCCCAGAAAAGGCAGCACCCAAGGCCCCTGAAGTCACTCTGAGCTCTATAGCTCTGGGTTTCTTCCCAACTCTGAGAGTCTTGGTGGCCAGAGGCCACACCAGTGCTATCCATTAGAAATATAACACAAATCACAAATGCAAGACAAATGTGTCATTTCAAATTTTCTAGTAGCCGCATTCAAAAAAGTAAAAAGAAACCAGTGACATAAATTCAATAATATATTTTATTTAACCTGATACAGTCAAATTATTATCATTTCAATATGTAATCAATATAGAAATTATTACTGAGATTTTTTGGGGGGTGGGTACCAAGTCTTTGGAATCCTATGTGTATTTTGTGTATGTCATACTCACAGCAGATTTCAGTTTGGACCAGCCACATCGAGTGGCTCATATTGGATGGCACAGGTAAGGACTGCTAGCCCTGTGAGGGGAGCCTGGCATGGCAGGTCACGACCTTTAGCTGTGACTAGGAAGCAGGAGCAGGTGTGAGTTTTTGTCTCTAGACTGGGAGGAGTATCTCATAGGATCTTAGGGTCCTTCCCTTGTGGTTGTTAATAGCAAGTGTGGGCTCCAGTGAAATTCACACACTTTCATGAACATTGAGGGAGTGACTGGGCAGTGGAGGTCCCGACTCCTGCCTTCGAAGTGTTCCATCAGAAAGAGGGCATATTCCTCCCAGGACAGGAATAAATCCTGTTACAAGACAGCTGGGGTCAAGAATTGGGTCCAGATCTCATCTGAGCAAATCAAGTCACAAGTTCAAGCCTCAGTTTCCTCACCTGGGGAATGGGTATAAAAGCAGTATCATGTCAGGGTTAATTTAATGCTTAGTCCAGAGCCAAACACTCCTTTGTGTCCTTGAAGACAAAGGTTAACAGCTTATTTGGGGTAGGGGGCCCAGAGAAAGTCCTTTGAACGCTCTTTTAGAAGCTGAGGAAACTGGGACCCGGAGAGAGAGGAAGTGACCCAATCAAGGCCACACTGGAGCTGCTGACTTCTTGTCCAGTGCTCTTTCGCCACCAGATTCATCACTATTGAAGTTTGCCTTTGGCCCACAGTCAGCAACCGACTCTTGGGCTTGCCTGTGGAAGATCCTCTCCCAGCCTAGGTCAAACTGCCCTTCACTCAGGCCTGGACAATGGGCTCTGGGCCAGATGTGTGATCTGGCTCCCAACTCTGCTACTTGCTGGCTGTGTGATGATGGTCGGGCAAATTGCATGACCTCTCTGAGCCTCAGATTCCATGTAGCACCACAATCTGCTCTGAAGATGTGGATTACAGGTGTAAAGATGGCCCCTCCCTGCCCCTATAGACCTGAGGGAAGAGTCTGTCACATAACCCCAAACTGCATTTGATCCACATTTAATCCTTTCTGAAGCTTTGGGAAACTGGCTTGTTATTATCCCATTTCACAGAAGGAGAAAGCTAATGCCTGACTTGACCCAAGCCTTGGCTCCTCCAGCAGGAATGGGTCCTCTCCTAAGGGCAGGTGAGATCTGAAGGCCTGAGGGGTGCTGGCACTACAGAGCCCCTCTGACCTTGGTCTTTCCCAATCTGTCCCTCATTCTAGGATAATATCCAGGATGTGCTATCTGTCCTGCCCACCCTGATGACTACTCCTTCCTACTCTGGCTCGAAGTGAGGATGGAGGGTGGAGTGGGATGAGGTCAAGGGTAAAAAGAGGAGTGTATTGTGTATCTATTGCTATATCTACATCTGTTATGACAAGTTACTCCAAAACAAAGCCATTTATTTAAAACAACCATAAACATTTCTTATCTCCCAGTGTCTGTGGTCAGGAATTATGGTAGAGCTGACTTGTTCCGGCTCAGGGTCTCCATTGTCACAGGTGAGATGTCAGCCAGCACTGCAGTCGTCTGAAGGGTCAACATCATTCCTGCAATATCCTCTTGATTACACAGGTCAGCCCTGCTTGGTGTCAGAGGGGGTTGAACAAGGCCATGAAAACCAGGAGTTGTGGATCATTGGGAACCATTTTGGAGGTGGCTACCGCAAGGAGTAATAATAATTACTGCTATCTGTTGAGGACTTATTCTGTGCCAGGCACTGAGGAAGATAATTTTTGTTTATTGTCATATTGTTGTTTTGTATTGTTTTGGTTCTGGTTTTGGTTTTGTTTGTTGTTGTTGTTGTTGTTTTTTGCACAACAACCCAGTGAGGAAGATACTATTATCAGCCCTATTTTTCATTGGAGGTAACTGGCTCAGAGATGTTAAACCACTTGATTAAAGTCACTCAGCCAGCAAGTGGCAAAGCCAGGTCAGTCTGATGTTAGAGGCCAATTGTTTAACATCCTCCCAGAGAAAGAGTTTGGAGAAAAGGATAGGGAAGAGGTTTGCTCTTGAGATATACATTGGAA